CTCTTTTTTAAAACCTTCTTTCTGACTCTTTTCTTAACTCTTTCTCTAATTCTATATCCTTTGTGGTTTGATTTCTGATTGATGAATTGTCGTTTGGATTAATTCTAAGTTGGAAGTTATGGTTGTCAGATGATTTGTGAATAGATTTTTCGTTGATTTGTTTAATTGAATCTTTCATTCGATCTTTCAGTGGTTTTGACATTAAATTGGGTTTTTTAAATTCAAATTTTTTCATTGAAATATGGAAATTCGATTTCTTATTTACTTTTGGTTTCACTTGAGGATGTTCGTTGGGTTTATTTATTTCTTTGTCTGGTTCTTGTTTGATTGGATTATCAGTACGTTTTATTTCTTTTGTCTCAATTACCTGATTTTCATTTTTCTTTGACTCTTGTAATTGTTCTGAAATAATTCTCTCGTTTCTTGGTTCTGGAAACACTTTTGGTTGAATATCTTCATTCATCTTATTTGTGACTTTTTCTCCTTCTTCTTCTGGTGAAAACTGAAATGAAGTTATACTATTGAAACTTTTAACACTGGTACTTTCATTTTTTAATAACACTTCTCCACTGTCAGTTGTCATTTTGTCAAACCATCTCATTGTATCACTAGTATCAAATCCTTCTTCTTTCATTGTGTCAAATGGATTAAAACCATTGCTAGAATCATGTAATTTGACTTTTTCAATATCATTTTCTTGTTTATTATATTCAATTGGTGTTTGTTTATTAAAAAATAAAGGTTTTTTCTTTGTTTTAGTAAATAATCTACTCATATAACATCCCTTTAATCAACATATCTTATTATATATCTTTGCCTTTTCATGTTATAAGAGATGTGGAATAGAAAAATCAATAAAAGTTATTTGGCTATAGTTTGTTTTATCAGAATAAAATGGAAAACATTGAAAAAACTTGACCAAACCTTGTTTTTATCAACTAAAATATGAGATGAACTAAAAAATAATAATTAAAAATGGAAAATACTATTGAAAGTAGTTTTTCATTAGTTTCATTAATTACAACAACAGTTTTATTATTAATTGGCATTATTGTTTATGTCAGTTTGTTTAAATTTATTTTCTTATAAACGTGATAAAACGATATTTATTTAATAATAGTATCAAAGAGAAATAAAAATAATAAAAATAAAAAGTCTGTTGTAATGATTACTGGAATAAGTGGTGTTGGAAAGACATCATTATATCTTTGTGTTTGTATTTTTATTTATTTATTATCATATATAATAAAATAAACTAATAACATATAGCTACAAAATGATACAATTACTGAAACATGTACTTCTATGGTTGAAAATATTGGTACTTGTCATGATACTATAACTAAACAACCATTTGAAATAGTGGATATTCCTGGTTATGGTAAAGTTAGAGGATTATATAAAAAATATATTGAATCAGCTAAATGTATCATTTTTATGATTGCTGGAGATGAAGTTAAGAAAACAATTAAAGATGATGCAGGATATCTTCATTGTATTATTTCATCAAATACAAATAATATACCAATATTAATTCTTTGTAATAAGAGTGATATTCCAATGTCTGAATCAAAAGATATTATTAAAATTTTATTAGAAAAAGAATTAAACAAATTACGTGTCAGAGTTGCAAAACCAGGAGAAGTAATAGCTGATGATGATTTATATATGTATGGAGATCCTGATGATGAATTCCATTTTGAACAACTCAAGAGTAAAATTGAATTTGCTCAATCTTCAGTGAAAGAGAATGATATAGATTCTGTTTGGAATTTTTTGAGTGGTGTTGGGTTAAAATAATTGAATTAAAACTCTCTCATATACCCATCTTCTATTCTTCTTTTAAGAAACTCAGTTTGGCTTAGTCTACCTCTTTGGTCATGAAATATAATATAATCACCATATGTGTTTTTTGTGTTTCCACCCCAATTTTCAGGTGTTAATAAATCAACCCTTTGATTTGTAGTATTTGCAAATTTATAAATCCAATGACCAAACCCAGGATCTTCTAATGAACTTGGGGCAAATGTGTAATAATTTTCCCATTTTCCAATAAATTTAATGATGTCTTGACTGAAAATAGATAAATAACCTGCAGGAAATGGAAAATATTTTGGAATATTAAATGCTAATGGGTCATAATATTTATTTCTTGGATTTCTATTAGGTCGGTGTTTAACCATTTCACCAACAACAGTAGAGTTTGCGAGGTGGTTCATTAAAAATGAAGATAACATATCAACAGTAACTAATATTTGATCGTCAACTCTGCAATAGAAAGAATAATTAGGAAATATATCTAATGCCATAATGTAAGCATTAATATTTTTTTGTTGTAAAGTAAACCATTGTTCATTTAAATCAGGCATATCAATGAAATAAATGTCATGGTATGTTTCATTTAATTTTAATAAGTCATTCAAATATATTGTCTGACGAACAGATGACTCAACAAGAACATAAATACATTTAAATCCATACCTTTGTTGGTATTCTTCTTTACACCAAGTATTTCTTGTATTTTGGATATGACTTATTTTATTTGGCATAGTATGAATAATAGCTAACCATAACCGTTCAGGATAACTTTTTATTTTTTCTTTCTCAAACCCCAAGGCAACTGTCTGGTTTATGACGGCATATTCCTCTATGTTGACTCTTAGTGGATATGATTCGTCAACATTAAACTTTTCACCATAGAATGATTTGATATATCGTCGTTGAAGGTGATCTATAAATAAATCTTTGTTGTTATTTTGGGCAAAACCCAAAATGATATAACACTGAATAATTAATAAAGAAAACATGAACCAAAATCTTTGAGACTCACTTATATAGATAATACCTAATCAAATCTGCGTAAGTAAAGACAAGATCACTTTTCGTTTTTGTGTTTATTCTACAAAAAGAAAAAAAGAAGGGTAATATATAAATACCTAAGGAATGATTTAATAATAGAAATCTGAATAACTCGAAGAAAATTAAAGGTAAGTTAAAAAATATAACAAAACAAAAGTAAAGAAAAAAATAAAAGTGAAGAACTGCGATTTGTTAGAAAAGATTCGTTTTGGAATAGGAGATGAGTAAAGACACACCTTATCATCTTTTATTCAGAAAAGCCTTCAAAAAAGATTTAGGAGAAATCCCGAAACTTCCTATTGATATGGTTGACACTAAACAATTAGCAATTCATAGTGCAGAACGAAAAAAGCCAGCAACAATTGTTTCTCGTGATCAGTCATTTGGATTAACGTCGTTTAGTTTATATCCAATTGTAGAAGGGAAAAAACAAGGAGAGCCTAATGCAGATTCACTAAAGTTTATTCAATTTGCTAATTGTTCAATTGGTATAATTGCTGATGGATGTGGATGGGGATTTAGGTCAAAAAAGGCTTCATCTAATGCTGTTTCTGGGTGTTGGGAATCAATTAGAAGTTCTATTGGAAAATGTAAAACAACACGTGAGATTGCTACTTTATTAGTAGATTCAATGGCATCTGCTCACCTTTCAATTTTACTTAACTCAGATAGTTCATTATTAGAAACAGGTACAACAACATTGTTAATTTCTATTATAGTTACGTTACGTACTCAACAACCTTATGCACTTGTAATATCAATTGGAGATTGTCAAGCATTTTTATATTCACACGAAATAGAACATACAGACTCAATAATTGGTGATAATAGAAAAGGAACAGCAACATATGATTGTGGAGGGGTTATTGGACCAGCAGAAGGAAAAAATCCATCGTTAAGACATGTAGAACTAAAAGGACGTTATGTCAAAGAAAATGATATTCTTCTTATGATGACAGATGGATTTCATGATAATTTTGATCCAGACATATGTCGTATTACAAGTGATAAAGAAAATTATGTTAATTCGATAATTTCACCAATTATTAAACAATCAGTCAGTATTGGTGATTGTGTTCAACAACTAAGTGAACATATTATCAATTTAACTGATAAATTAGCAGAATTACATTCTACCTTAAAAAGACGGTCATGTATTGTTTCACCTGGTAAATTAGATCATTCAACATTATTAGTATACAATATATCATTACATAACATTGATATTTCAAATGAGGATTGTTATGTACCAAATTATTATTTTAAACTTTATGAAAATCCTTCCCGTATTAGTATTTCAGTTAATAAACATTTATTACCAACTACCACTCATCTCAAACCAAAATTAAATGAGTCATTAAGTCAACCAATTACTCCTTCGTTAACACCACATTTTCAATTCTCTACTCCAGTTCTTACACTTTCTAAACCTACATCCCCACGTAGGCTTCGTGCTTTATCAAGAGAATCATTGAGGGCTCTTTCATGTAAATCAATATCAGAATGTAATCCAAATGGTCAATGTTTTTCTAGTTCTCCTTCTTATTCTCCTAACTTATCTCCAAAACATACAGAAGAATCAAAACAAGTTACAACATCTTCTAATTCTCCTACAGAACCATATCATTCTTTTGTTCAATTTTTTATGCAACATCAACAGAATTAATTTATTGTATTGTTATTATAATAAAAAAATATTATTATATTTATTTTATAGTTTTATAATTAATTAAGTAATAATATATTATAATTTTATAATTCAAAAATTCTGGAAAAGAAAATGAACTAAAAATGAGACTCTATGCTTGAAGATCCACTTATTCCACAGTCAGATTTTGATGATACTTCTTCTTTTACAATAGAAAATCCATGTGACAAACTTGGATTTCATTTATCAACAAGAAATAGAATTATTACATTCTTTTTAATATTTTCAATTGCTATATTCTTTTGGTTAGTTACATTCCCATTTATTTTAGTCTTTGTTGCTGCTCCATACTTATTTATGATATGTTATTCTTTAGGATTATTATTAATTAGTTTAGCGTTTGTTATTCATATTTAAATTCTTTAAATTATATTAATAATTTAGAACATTTTTCTTATACTCTCCATTAACTCAATTTAAATTACTTAAACAACCACTTCGTTTGCTTTGTGCAATAGTATTTCTTTGTTGTTTAACAATGACAATACTTGGATTATTCTTATTTAAAAATTCTATAGTTGTTTTATTTTTCTTAATCATTCAAATTGCAACAACAATATTTTATTCATTTTCTTTACTTCCTTTCTCATCAAAATGCATTTTAGAATTTTGTGGTAAGAATCAAGATTAATTCATTGTTTTTTAATCATTTTTTATTTTAGAAACAGATCTTCTTTTTTATCTTTTTGACTTTTCAGAATGAATAATCCTCAATTGTTATATTCTTCAATTCTTCAAGCACCTCCTCTAAAAAGTATCATTCATAATAATCATTTAATCACTATCACAGATAATCACTCTTTCATTTCTTCTTTTATAAACTCTAATGGTATTTTACAACAACCTGTTATAGAAGATATAAAACCAGTTGTCTCTTCTATGATAAGCACATCTCATGGTATTCTCTGTCATCAACATTCTCAACCAATTCAATTATTAAATCAACTCAAATCAAAACCATTAGCTTCATACAATCCTTTACCAAATTCAAATTGTATTTTTACTGAAAGTAATAAAGGGTTTTATGCTTATCATTCTTCTTCAGTGTTTAAATATTCTTTTGATTATTTTGAACCAAAATATTCTAAAAGAATTAAAATTGGAACAGTTTGTTCAATGGCTCAATATGGTTGGAGTGATTATATTGTTTGTTCTACTTATCAAGGGGATATTGTTCTTCTTGGAGGTGAGGAAATGCAAATAATCCAAAAAGTTCAATTAAAAAAAGAAATAAATTCTTTACAAATATTTAATGATAACTTTTTGATTATTGGTACTCGTAAAGATGATAAAATATATGTATTTGATATTAGAAATATAAATACAGTTATTGCAACATTATCTAGGTTTGCATTAACAAATCAACGAATAGGAATTAATATATATCATTCTACTCTTTTTACTGGAAATGATAATGGATGTGTTTATCTTTATGACTTGAATACTTTTACCTTTAAATCATCATATTTCCTTGCATGTTTGTTTTTATTCTTAACTTTGATATACAAACTTAAGACATAGACTCTCCAATTAATGATGTATTTTATTTTAATAATTGTTTGATTACAACTTCTGGTTGTAGATATTCACCAATTCCTCAATTACCAGAAGACTTTTCAGATGATGGACTATCAATAAAAGAAATACCAGAACCTTATAATATGATAACAACATGGAAATTACCATCATTTGAATAATCATTCAACTTTTAAGTATTTATTTTTAGATGTTTCATACAAAATCTAATATACTAAATAACCCTTTTTAAACTAAATACAAATCAAAAAATTCCATACATAAATGAGTACAATCAAAATACCTGTTGGAGAAAAGAAAATATTCAAGAAAATTTATACTAACTTTTGGAAAATGAATGAACGTGAAAAGATTGTTGCCCCTCATGACAAAATTATTATTGGGTTTTCAGGAGGAAAAGATTCATTTCTTTTAGTCCATGTCCTTTCAACACTTGGAAAAACTAGTCACTTTCCTCTTGACATCTTAGTTGTTCATGTCACTAATGAGCAAGTTGGATATCAACTTAATATTGAAGACTCTAAGGCACTTTGTGAATCTCTAGGAATACCTTTTATCACTCTTGAGTCAGAGCCTGTAAGTAGATTTGATATTGAAGATGCTGATAAAAACACTACATTTTGCTTAAACTGTGGAAAAAATAGAAGAAGAGCATTATTAGAATATGCAAAAGAACATGGATATACTTCAATTGCATTAGGACATCATATGGATGATGTTGCTGAAACATTGTTAATGAACCAAATGTTTTGTGGTTGTATTGCAGGTATTCCTGCTCAGTTTACCACAGAAAAATATGGTGTTAAATTCATTAGACCACTTATTGAAGTTCCAGTAGTTTTTATTCAAGAATGGACAAAGTACATTGAATTACCACGTTTAATACGTTGCAAATATGAAAAAGATAGTATGAGAGGTGAGGTAAGAGAAATGCTAGAACATTTTAAAAAGAATCATCCTTTTATTGCTCATTCTATTGCTCAATCTCCTTATAATATAAAGTATGAATATTTATGATAGATAATATCTTCGGTTTATTATTATTTAGAACTTTATTTACATCATAAAAAAATAATTAAAAATGCTGCTTAATTTTTATTACATTGTAACATAACTCCACAAAAAAATTATAACAAATTGAAATAATGTATTATTACTTAAATTCAACAAACCAATTTAAAATAAAGTAATGCTTATTTTCTGAATTTAATCAAATTGAGCTAGTGTTGTTTAAAAAGATCTAATACTTTCATTATAAGATAAAAGTAGTAACCTACTCTCTTATTTTAATAATTATTCTTTATAAAATGATTTTAAATTAATGTTGAGAAAAAATTAAATTAAGCAAAAGTTTTAGCAAGATCGGCTACAAAATCAGTAATTGGTTTTAATGCATTTGCTGACGGTTCATCGGCAAATGGATTTAATCCAGTCTCACCAGCTAAACAAATTTTTGGTTCAATAGGAATAGCACCAACAAATTTAAGCTGGTATTTATCAGCTAATTCTTTACCACCATTACTAGAGAATATATTAGTAACAGTAGAACAATGAGGACATAAATACCCACTCATATTTTCAACTAAACCAATGATGGGAATTTGACACTCATTACAGAAATCAATTTCTTTTTCAACATCGTTTGTAGAAACAAGTTGTGGTGTTGTAACAATAACAGCTTTAGTTTCTTGATTTCTTTTTCTGAAGAAATCCATAATAGTAATATGTTCATCAGATGTTCCTGGTGGTGTATCAACAACTAAAACATCTTTATCTCCCCATTCAACATCATTTAAAAATTGTTCAATGGCAGCTCCTTTTTTTGGACCTCTCCAAATAACTGGTGAATCAGGTGAACTTAACATAAATCCAACAGAAAGTGTATCAATAAAAGTGTCTCCAATTTTAGATTTTGCAGGAAGAATTCCTCCATGTTCTCCTTGGTATACTCCTTGATTATCAAGTCCCATCATCTTTGGAATAGATGGTCCACATAAATCAATATCTAAAATACCTGTTTTTTTACCAGCAAGTGCAAAAGAGCGGGCAAGTACTGTAGCAATTGTTGATTTTCCAACACCTCCTTTACCTGAAAGAACCAAAATAACATTTTTAACATGATCAACTCCAACAAAATTACGATCAGAGTTAAGTTCAGTCATAAATAATAATTGGGATTAATAGTTGAATCTCATTTTTCGTTTTAGTATTTCATTTCTATTGGGTTCTCTGGTCCTATTCAAAACTTCATCATCTTAATTCTACTTCACTCTTTTAGGGTTTCTTTTATGGTTCTCGCAATTTAGGAAAGTCTATAAACTTGAGAAATTGAATTTTCCAAAAATGGAAAGAAATGTTATTAAAAAATGTTATTGAGAGAAAGAGAAAAAAAAAAACTCATAATCGTAAAGACATATGGGTGAACAAAGTATAGAAACCAAAGCCAATGAAGATAATCAAAGTAAGAAACAGCTTGTTAAAGTTTTTCGGTTAAAAGAAAATGATTGGGTTGAAATTGGGATTGGTATATTTAATGTAGAGATTAATGATGATAGTATACTTATTGAGGTTTTTTCTGAAAATAATGAAAACAAATTATCAACAGAGGGAGAAAGAAAAGAAATTAATAAAAATGAATATGTCCCAGACAAAATTATATGTGTTAGACTGATTAAAGGAGATGCATTTGAAAAACAAAATGATAAAGTAATTCAAATACAAGGTAAAGCATTTTCTAATGAATACGCATTATCATTTCTTGACAAAAATTTATGTAATGAATTATGTCATAACCTTATTGAGATTGGTGTTAGATCAATAACTGATGGACCACTTTGTTTGTTAGTTATTTTTATTTAACAAGAATTTCATGTTAATCACTTACTTATTTAGCATTTACAGAAGAAAATATTAAAGAAATAAGAGATCTTGCAATTACTTCATTAGCATCACGTAATACGTCAATCTTATTTGAAAAGTTAACATTACAAGAGATTATAAATGGACTAATAAAATTCTCTAAAACGATAAATGATACTACAAAGAAAGATATAGTTGAGTCTGTCTTCATTTTTGTTAAAGTATTATTATTATTACCTGATGAAAAAATTTCAGATGAAATATATCAACTTTCAACACTAAAAGCATTATTTGTAATATTAACATATGATCCTCAAATACCACAAACAAATCGTATTTATTTTTTTGACGATTTCAAAACAAAATTAACTGGTATTAAAGAAATTGTTGAACGGTCATTTGCTGTAAAAAATTTGGTTGAATATGCTTTTGCATTGACTTATTTCAGAGATATTGTTGTGGCACGGTTTTCAGATGAATCAATTGGGACACCTATTAATATTCGACTGAGTAATACACAACGAAAAATTTTAGAAGAGTCAATAAAAGATCAAATATTTCAAAAACTTAGTAAGAAGTATGAGACTAATAATGATAAAGAGTCAAGAAGAGGAATTAGTATTACTATTAAACAATATTGTTCTACACTAATTTTATATCCTCTTTCTACAAGGGAAGAACGTGCTAAATCAATTATTGAAACTGGAATATTAACTACAATATTCAAAGGTTTAAATGAAGAATATAAAGGATATTACTTAGACTCATTAACAATATTATTTGAATCAGGAAGTAATGTTGCTATACTACTAATGGAAAATGGATTACTTGAACAAATAGTTAGAAGTGGAATTTATCAACAGGGATCTTATTTATATGGTATTTTCTCATTTTTACAAAATAGTACTATCGCTTATGATGGTGTCATAAAATACCAAACACTTCTTTGTGAACAATTTATTCCATTAATCATGAATATTTTAATGGAACCATTAAATACTCAAGAAAAATATACTAAAGAAGTTTTAGGAAAATACCTTGAACGGTTCTCATCATTTTTATTGAATTTTATTAAGTTACCAACTCCAAATGTTCTTCCATATATTATTCAAACCCAAATATTTGAAAAATTATTGAAAGTATTATCTGAAACTACTGACTGTGCACAAGCAAATATTATTTGTACATTAAAAGATATTTGTAAATTAAATAATAATGAAATAACACAAATACTAATTGGTAGTGGAATGCTTGTAATTATTAAGGACATTAAAAATGATTTACCAAAAATATGTTCTCCAGCAGTTGATGAAATACTTACAATGTTTAACCACGAACCAGTAATTACACAAGTCAAAAAAGAAAATATAGTTAGTGGATTAGCCCATTTAGCGTATAAAGGAATTAAACGACCAATTGATGAAAAAGAAGTAATTGTATTGATGGAAGAATGTTCTCCTTTAAAAAGAGAAAGTAAAAGGCATAAAGAAATTAAACTCATCAAAAGAATAGAAGAGCCTCAACCAAAAGAAATTAAAGAAGTAAATAATAAAGAGTAATGTCACGAAAAAAATAACTGAAATTGATTGTTTGTTACTTTACTAATTAATTATAATATTTATTGATTTTTGGTATGTTTTATAAATATAATTAAGTTATAATAATATTCTAATTTAAATATTGTTTGTTACTGAGTTGAAAAATAATTGATTGAAAAAAAAAGTAAACCCTAGGAACTTGTAAAAAGTAAACTGCGTGTTCTGACATGAAGATTAACGTAGCCAACCCAGCAACTGGAAGAATTAAGAAATTTGATTTTGAAGAAGAAAAGAATTACAGACCATTCTTTGATAAGAGAATCGGACAAGAAGTTGATGCTTCATCACTTGGAGATGAATTCAAAGGATACATCCTTAAAATCACTGGTGGATGTGATAAGGATGGTTTCCCAATGATGACAGGAGTAGCTACTAACAATCGTGTCAGACTTCTTCTTGATGGAAGAAATGGATGTTATAAACCACTTAGAAATGGAGAAAGAAGAAGAAAGACAGTTAGAGGAGCTATTGTTGCAGGAGACATTTCAGTATTGAATACCGTTGTAGTTAAGAAAGGAGAAGGAGAAATTGAAGGAGTTACTAATGATGCACTTCCAATGAGAGCTGGACCAAAGAGAGCATCTCATATCAGAAAACTCTTCAATCTTTCTCAAAAGGATGATGTTAAAAAATTCGTTATTAGAAGAGAAGTTGCTAAAAAACATCCAAAAGAAGGAAAATCAACAAAGAGATCTAAAGCACCAAAGATTCAAAGACTTGTTACTCCAAGAAGACTTCAACATAAGGCTCAAAAATTAGAAGCTAAGAAATTACATAAAATTGCTATGCTCAAGGAAGCTAAACGTTATGCTGCTATTCTTAATAGATACAAGGTTCTTAAAGCACATGGAATGAAAGTTGTCTCATTTGCTGATACTGATGCTGTTTTCAAACAAAACAAAGCTGGTTCAAAGAAAGCTGCTTCTAAGGGAAAGAAGGTTAGTTCCAAGAAAACTGGAAAGAAATAAGTAAAATCATACTAAATGTTTTAAAAGAAATTATTAAAGTTTTTATTTTAAATAAATCAAAAGGTTTAAAAAGAAAATAAATCAATCATAATAGCAGTGTTATTTCTTTAATTGTTCACGTGACTGTTGAACTTGAGTAGAAATGAATTTAATCAACATCTTTGCTTTAGACAAAGCAGTCTAAAACAGTTAATACATCTTTAACTATTATAATTTTTTAAATAAGAAAAACAAACGTCACAACACTTTTGAATAACTTTCATAGAAATTGGTGTTCCACTTTTTTGTACTGCACAAACTTCACCTTCTTTATTTATTGCAATTGTTAAATGAGATTTACAAACACTTTCTTCTCTTTCAGATGGATCAAGTAATGGTACTCCACTTTCTGTAATTCCAAATGATACAGTTATTGGAATATGATGAATTGCTAATGGGACAGGTTTACGTTCTTCTGGTGTTAATATTTTTACATCAGTACCACAAATTTGTACTTCTCTTCTTACAGCAGTTAGTAATGCAGAAATAGCAGTAATAGATACTAAGTCCATCAAATTACCACAGTCATTAATAATATGAACACACACTGTAATTTTCCATACTAATTTTCCTCGAATAATAACAAGACCATCAACATCAATTGCACGTGTAGATAATAATCCCCTTTCTACTACCTTACCAATCTCAATTAAATCACGTGGTCCTCTTGAATCATAGAAATTTGGATTAGCCATTTCAAGAAAATTAACACGAATATTAAATATTCCTTGATCAGGTCTTGATCTTCCAGGACATACCGGCTCTACAACACATTCTCCTAATGCCTTACTATTACCAATATGTGTTTCAACACTACCAGGTTCTCTACACACAAATGAAACTTCTCTAAACTCATCTAGTCTTCTTGCATCAATACGAATTCCTTTTTGAAGTAACCCTTCAACGTGTTCCATTTCTTTATTTTTTCAATTGTTTTTTATTTTTATTTTAACTTTTTTTAATTGAAGAATATTTTTATTATTTAATTATTATTTATTTCTATTTCAAAAGAATAACAAATGACTTGAGAATATATCATTTAAATGCATCGTTCATAATATTGAATTGATTCAATACCTTTCAAAAAGAAATCAACAATATATTCTGGGGTATAATATTGGTTATTAAATTTTCTATTTGGTAAAAGAGTAATAGCATCTTCAAATGTTAAAATTAAGTCATTCATCTCATCTTCAATAATATCATCAATATTCTCATTTATCATTTTTTTTAAGACTTTAATTTTAGTTATCAGTTCTTCTAATTGGTTTTCAAGTGTTTTTGTAAATTGATTTATAGCCATATCCTGTATTTTAATCATTGTCTCTCTTAAGTTATATTTAATAGTTGGGAATAATGTAATCTCTCTATTCACTGCCATAACATAACAACAATTGACTATACCATCATTAATATAATACACAATTGAATCAGGATAAATCAATGTAGGAGCTCCTTCCTTACCAGCTGTATCAACTGTAATTTCTCCATTCTTAATATGAAGAACAACAGTATCCCAAAATCCATTAGAAAGAATAGAAACCAAACAACCATCTTCAATCTCTATAATTTGTTCATTTCCTTCAATAGAAATTGGTCTACCATCAATAAGATAAACATTATTTTCTATTTTCATAGAAATTGAATCCATTGGATTGTTAATTAAATTAGTTATGAGTTGTTTGATGGGTTTCATAATAATTTTGAGTTGTTGTTTAAATTGTTTAAGTGTGAGATGTTGTTGTTCAGACATAATATTCTTGTCAAATTCTTCTTTTTAGTTTTGATTTATATTTTTGAATATTTATGAAGTAAAATTAATAATAATAATTAAATTTATTTTTCTGTTCTTGTTCTACTATTTGACCTTGACCTTTCATTATTTTGATTTTCAGGATCATTTTCTTTAGTTTGTTGTTGTCTTTTTTTCCACTCTCGTTTTCTTTCTTTTCTTGAGGCTTTCCATTCAAGACGCTTATACTCTTTTTCTTCAGGAGTTTCTTTCTCTTCTCTTTTCTTTTCTTGAAGAAGTTGTAATTTTGTTTTAATGTCATCAACTGTTGGTGTTTTAAAATTTGTTTCAATCCCAGCTTTTTCTATATGCTCTGGTAAATTTAAATGTGTTGTAAAACTAGTAGAATCACTAAACATTTTTTTACAAATTGTACAATAAAGACGACCTTGTTTCTTTGTTAGTATAGTTGATCCTTTCTTATTAATTAATTTTAATGACTCTTCTCTTGACGGAAGTTGAGAATTTTCTTCTTCTCCATTCCACTTTCCTTCAAAATATTCGTTAGCGTATAATTCTTTGTTCCATTTTCTCCTCCCACTTTTATCAAGAGTATATTTTAATGTCATTTGTTATGTGTTTATTTTTATTGTAGATATTGGAGTTTAATAAATTAAACTATTTTTTTTTTGTTTTATATACTACTTTTTACTGAGTTTTTTTAACAATACTCAGAGTGATAGTCAATTATGCTTAATACTAACAATATTGTCTTTTTGTTAAAAATATTTACAACAACAGAACTTTTATATAAATTAAAACAGTTTGATATTCATTATTTAATTTGTCTTATTAGTATTTTTTAAAAAGAGAAATTGACAACTAATCAAAAAGTATATCATTATCTTTAACAAAAACTAGCCTATTGTTTGTAGAAGAGCAATCCTTTTCTTTGAGCAAGTTTTTGAATTTTCAAAGAAAAAAAGATGAATATCATATATCTTTTCATATTAATAGAGTATGAATTTATTTTTCTAAAGAAATAAACAAAAAAATAGATGTAATATGAATGGTTCTACTCCACAAATTCAGTGCTCTAAGAGTTAAAAATATTGTAGTAGTTTGTTTGAGAATGGGTTGGAACTAATTCTTTCAAAAGGGTGTGTATTAAAATAAAATACAATAAATATATAAGTATTAACACTGTCACTGAAAGTATTGTTATATATGAATGACAATAAAAAGTATTATCGCCATTTAAAAAAAAACAGAAATTGTGTATATGATATAACAAAGAGTTTGTTTTATATCAAGTAGTTATCAAAGCCATTTGAAATACAAGATGAAGAAGAGATATTTTATTGAAAAATTCATCTTGAAATAATTAAAAAAATGTCAACGTTTGGAAATGCTGCTGGGGTAATATGGAGAAATACTGAAGATGAAGTACTTAAAGCAGGAGTAATGAAATATGGTAAAAATGAATGGGCAAGAATTAGTAGCTTAATTGCTGGTAAATCTCCACAACAGTGTAAAGCTCGGTGGTATAGTTGGCTAGACCCATCAATTAAAAAGACTGAATGGACTTCAACTGAAGAAGAGAAATTACTTCATTTAATTAAGATATTTCCATCACAATGGCAAACAATTTCTAAAAGTGTTGGAAGAACTCCAGCACAATGTATTGAAAAATATAACCAACTTAAAGATGAAGCTACTGGAGATGATTGCTCAGGATTAAGAGAAAAAGAAATGAATGAAATCATTCCAGAAACGCGACCTGCTTTAAAAGACAGAGTTGACCTTGATGATGATGAGATTGAAATGTTAAATGAAGTTCGTGCTCGTCTAGCAAATACAAAAGGAAAGAAAGCTAAACGTAAAGAACGTCAAAAATTACAACAAGACACAGCCTATGCCACTGAACTTCAAAAAAGAAGAGAACTTAGAGCAGCTGGTATTCAAGTTAGTTATTCTCATAAAATAAAAGGACCAGATTATAATTCAGAAATACCATTCTTTAGAGAAGTACCTCAAGGAAAATTTAATCCTCAAAAAGATCGTAAACCACCAAAGAAACCATCATTTATTGGTAAAGAAATGAATTAATTTTGTTTTTAATAATTTTTTTAACTTATTTAAAAAAAAAAAAAACACAAACAAAAGAAAAAATAAAAAAGAGAAAAAAAATGATTTGAATAAAACAATTCTTTCAAAGAAATAACATAAAAGAAATTAATAAAAAAATTACATGAATGATTCTTCAAAATTAGGATTCCAATAAGCATTCATTTCTTGATAAGGAACATAAGGTTGTTCTTGAGTGTTTTGAATTGGACAAGCAGATTGGAATATTGATGCTATTTCCTGAAGAACTTCAAGTTGTTCTGGAGTAAAAAGATTAAGAACTTCACAAATCATTTGAACATGTTGGTTATAGTCATATTGAGATAATTTCCAAATTAATTCAGAAATACTTCCATTTAATGTTTTAGTTTTTTCATTTTGACGATTTAAATTATCATTTAATTTTTGAATAAGATCTCTATTTGCTTTAATAATTTCAATTTCTAAAGAACGTTCTTGAGGTAAAATTAAAGCAGAAGTTAATTTTTTTGAATCTTTTTTAATTTTTGATATTTTTTTAGGTTTTGTTTCAAAGCAATTTTTATTTAATTTTGTTTTACGATGTGAATCAGCTTTACTTGTTGATTTGATTGGATGTGAGTAGATTGACCCAATCACAGAATCTCCTAATAATAATTTAACATGAACTCGGAATAATAAATCTTCATGTTGAGATGATAAAACAGCTAATTTACATTCAACATTTACTGTATTTGAAGTAATTTGTTGGACTTTAAATGATAATGGATTTTGAGAAACATAACCAACTGGTTTTAAATCATCCATATCATAAACTAATTCACAATCAATAGTCCCATCTATTCTATGTGGAGAAGTTATTGTTAAAGTAAAGATTGATTGTTTAACAACAACACATACTTCTTTTTCATTAATAAATTCTGTTGATGACGATGTTTGTCTTTCAAGTGTAAGTAGCATCAAAAGGAAATTTGTTAAATACAAACATTTTTTTTTGAGTTGAATATTATTTTTTTTTTATTTTTTAAAATACTTTTTTTTTATTAAAAATAATACTTCTATTACAATCTGTGGATTTTTGTAGAAGAATTTCTTCTTCTCATTTTGTTCCTTATTTTTATTAATTTTTATTAAATTTCTTATTTTAATAATTTATTCTTTTATTATTGTATAATTTTATTTTTCAGTTTTTTCAGTTTCATGTTTTTTTATTTTTAGATGATTTTTTAGATAATTTTTTTATTAAAAACAATTCTTAAAAATTCTAGATGAAAGTAGAACAAAAACAAAAAAAAAGAAGTTGATTTAACAACGACTGAAAAATGAAAAAATAGAATAAATAGAACAAAAAATAAGTAGTATCTTATTTTCGAATGAAAAAAAAAAACAAATATTTAAAAATAGAAAAAGAAAAACATTTTTTGAACAATAGAAATAATGAAAAAATAACTGAATTTATTAATAAATCCAATCTGAATAAGTTCTAGGTTCAATTAACATCACAACACCTCCTTGAAAAGAAACAGCGAATTGACAAGGAATAATTTTAGAAACTGTCATTCCAACGATTTGAGTATTTAATTTTAATTGTGTTTGAAGTGAAGAAACAAGAAGATATGTACAAACTCCAAGATCAGAACTTCTTAAAATATTACATCTGTCTTTAGAAACACAAACAATAAATTTTCCATCACAAGAAAATTTAGCATCAATAATTGGTGATGGACTTTCAAATTTATATAATATTTTCCAGTTATTTATTGAATATAATGTTACTGTATAAAGATCATTAATAATAATAAATTCATTAAATATATCCATAGAAATTGGAGAAATAGATAATTGTAATGTTTTTCCATCAAAATTTAATATTCCATTTTCTGATAATGAAATAATTTTTTTATTAATAAATCCAATTCCAACAATTGGAGAATTTAAATGAGAATTTATTTGTATTGGAATTGAATTATTACTATTTATTTCAAAAACATTACCATTAAAACATCCTACTCCTACAATAAAAGAATTAGAAGAACAAACAGTTATAATATTAACACTATCATCAGGTAATTGTTTTGGAGTATATAATACATGTGTATTTCCTGTTTTGAATTCTTGAAGAAGAAGTTTATTACCAACAGAAAATAAACCATAATTACCATTAGATGTAATATAACATCTTTCTAATTCAGTTCTTGAATTTTCCATTTTAAAATAAACTTGAGAAGAAGAAGGTAATGATTTAGGAAGATAACAATGATAAATAGTACCATTTAAATCAAATCCATAAATTTCTCTATCATTTCCTAATTGAATTTGGAGAAGTGTTAAATTATTTGGTATTTTAATTGACTTAAAAAGAACATTTAAAGACTTTTTTGGAATAACTGACATTCTTTGTGGAATAGTAGGAATTTTATAAGAAGTTATTCCATTGATTGTATAGAGTAAAACATTTGGATATGTAATAACTGTTTTCATTATTTGTTGTGGTTGTGAATTAAAAGTAAATTGTTGAAGTACTTCTTCATTACATTGATCAAATATATATACTTGATTAAGTGTTGAAATATATATTTTATCTTCTATACATTTAACGTCTTCAACCCCTTTTATTTGATACTTAAATATTGATGGCATATCAATTCGGTATTGTGCTATTTGTCCATCACATTGAATAAGACATCCATCTTTTGTAAGTGTTAAATTCATATCATCTATTTTATTAAAATATTCTCTTAAATCTTCTTCAGCTTTAACTCTCATTACATATAATTTAAAATGATGTAATTCTACTGCTACAAAAATTCCATTAACATCAATACCATATAACATTGAATCGTTTCTAGATAATTTAATACATCTCAATGGAGTTTTAGTTAATGGAATTTGACATATCATTTTTAATGATGGATAGTCCATTAACAATACTTTCCCTATGTTAGATGAAAATGTAATTAATTCTTTATCTAAACTTACATCAGTTACATAAATTGGTGAATTATTTTCATCTATTAATTGAGCTTGATTAATTAATCCTATAAATTCAAATGACCCTCCATAAACAGAAAAGAACTCTATTCCATTTTGTGATACAAAACATATTCTTCCTTCATTGTACATAACTTTATGTGGAGTATATAAAACAGTGTCATTACGTAGATCAATCTCTCTTGTAACAACTGCTTTATTAGCATCAACAATTTGAATCTTATTATCAACTGTAAAAAGATAATGAAATCCTTGATCTGTTTGAATGATTTCTTTAATTATGGTTTTCATTACACTTCTAATCGTACTGATGTTTTTTCTATACAGTAAAAATCTTTTTGTAGAAAATAGAAATCTATAAATTATTAAATCAAAAACCATTCTAAAAATAAAAAATGAAAAGATAAAAACTTGTCAAAACAAAATTAAAAAAAAAAGGGTTTGTATAAAAAAGAAAAAAAATCTTAGTTTAAAGGAAATGAGTATCGTTGCTGTTGGATCATATAACAGTTTCTTATCTGGTTGGGAATTTCAATCAAATGAAAACTTAGAACTAAAGTCAAAACAATTATTTGGATTTAAAGTTGATAAAAATTGTATTAAAACTGTTTCAGTATCTCCTCATTATTTAGCACTTGGAGGAACTGATGATTTAATAAGATTGTATGATTTAACAATTAAGAGAGAGGTATGTACATTAATGGACCATAGTGGTACCGTTAATAAAATTGTTATATTAAATGAAGAGATGATCTCTTGCTCAGACGATGGAAATATTATTTTTTACAAATTATCACCAAAAAAAGTAGATTTAATTAATAAAATTCATGTTAGTAAAGATGGAGTTATTGACATTGCTTTAGATTCAACTGGAAAAATTTGTTTATGCATTGGAAAAAAATATATGAAAGTTGTTGATCTTTATCGTGGAAAAGTAGCATTTGAAACAAAATTAACATTTGACCCAGAAACAATTAATTGGGTTCATAATGATGAATTTTTCTGTATTTCACATAAAAATTTAATTACAGTTTATAATAGAAAATTTGAAGAGTTTAAGATATTAGAATGTGACCCAAAACAAGTTGTACGTGTTGCTTCATCTTTTGACAATTTACTTATGATAGGAACTGATAAAGGTGAAATTATTACTTGGGACTTTATTACTCCAGAAGAAATTAAAGAAACTATTGAAAAAGAAGAAGAAATCATAAACAAATTTAATGAATTAAAAGAAAGTGGTGACAGTAATGAAAAAGAAGAAGAAGAGAAAGAGGAAGATAATGATTTGAAAGAACAAAAGAGTGATTCAGATATTTCTTTAAATTCAGATGATGAAAAGGTTGCTACTGCAAATATTGAAGAAATGGAAACAATAGAACAAACTAAAGAAAAAATGGAAAATGAAAAACAAGAAGAAACAGAAAAAGCAGATGAAAAAATAAAAGGTGGTAATGAAGATAATAGTAATGAAGAAGATATAGATATTGAAGAAGATGAAAAAGAACAAGAATATCCTATGAAACAAATTATTCAAACAAGTGAAGGAAGAATAAGAGGAGTTCAACAAATTATTGTTGGTGAATGGGTTGGATTTGCTGTTGGATATTCTGATGGAAAATTATTAATTATTGATAGAGAAGGAAATATTGCATTAGAAATGAATACAGGAATGAGGATAACAGCACTTGGAGCAACATCATTTTAAATAATAATCTCTTATTAGTGAATGATTATATTTTGATTGACTGAACAAATGACTTTACTTGTTTTAATTTTTTTCTTTCTATTTCTTTTTTTTTGTTTACAATGAAAAAAAAAAGCTTTAATTTGTATAAACTTCTTCATATTTACAAACAAATCATTTAGTATTATACTCATCTTCCAGAGAAGAGTTTAAACTTAAACTATAAATTTCTTCGTCACTATCAAAATCAATATATTTTTGTTTTCTTCGTATTATTTGAATCACAATACTTCCAATTATGAAACAAATAAAATAAAATATTAATAACCCCCAAAATATTATATATAATATCCATTCCCATTGTATGTTTTCTAATTTATTTGTAGGTTCTTTAGAACTATCAATTAAAACTAAATCAATTGATTGAAATAACCAATAAACTTTCATAAAATCATACATTTTGAAATTGTATTTCAATTTTTTAGTTCTACTTATCTTTTTGTTCTTCTATTGGACTTTAAAAATTTTAATATTATAATCATTCATTTCTCTTTCATATAATTTTCTTTCTTTATTTTTTTCTTTGCTTTGAACAAATTTAATTAATTTAAAAAAAATTAATGCAATCCATTCTTAAACAAAATTATATTAAACAACACCAAGCCAATTTATAAACTTACAATTCGAACAAATAATTACGTACACAAATAAAATGTTTTAACGCCATTTAATAGTCAGTATTACAATAATTTAATATCTTCTAATAAATTAATGTATTAAACTTAATTCGATTTTCATTGATTATTATGAATTTATAAAAAAATATTAAAATGAATAAGGAATTGATTTAAAGTAATAAAAAGAGGTTTTTATATCTTAAAATCAAATATATAATAATACATACAAGTAAAAATTAAATCATAAAAAAGAATAATAAGATAATAAAAACATATTTGTATGAAATTATAAAGAATAATAAAAAATATCAAATAACAAAAAGAAAAAAATGTTATTGTAAATGAGAAAAACTAAATCAGAAGTAAACCCTGAGATCTAACTTAAGAACTAGGGTTTTACTAAAAATTCAAGCGATAATTGGAATGAGCAGCAGACCATTTGTCACTATTTATGATGGTATCACTGGAGAAGCTGAAAAGACACCAGTCAGACTTCCAGCTGTTTTTCTTGCACCAATTAGAGGAGATGTAGTTCATTTCGTTTATAGAAATCAAAGTAAAAATACTAGACAACCAGAAGGAGTATCAACTGAAGCTGGTAAACAACATTCAGCTATTTCATGGGGAACTGGAAGAGCTGTAGCTAGAATTCCAAGAATTAGTGGATCAGGATCAGGAAGAAATGGACAAGGAGCTTTTGGTAATATGACTAGAAAGGGTCATATGTTTTCTCCACTTAAGAATTTCAGAAAATGGCAAAGAAAAACACCAAAACAAATGAGAAGATTTGCTGTTGCTTCATGTATTGCTGCTTCAGCTGTTCCAGCTCTTGTTTCAGCACGTGGACATCATATTGCAGGAGTACCACAAATTCCATTAGTTGTTAATTCAAAATCAATTTCAGTTATTAAGAAGACCAAACAAGCTGTTTATCTCTTAAAGAAAATTAATGCTTATTCAGATGTTCTTAAAGTTATTGCTTCAAAGACTGTTCGTGCTGGTCAAGGAAAAATGAGAGGAAGAAAGATTAAAGAAAGAAAAGGACCATTAGTTGTTTATGGTAATGATGATCTTCAAGCTGTTAAAGCATTCAGAAATATTCCAGGTGTAGATACATGCCGTGTTGAAAATCTTTCAGTTCTTAATCTTGCACCAGGATGCCATATAGGTAGATTCATTATTTGGACTGAATCAGCATTCAAGAAACTTAACACCATCTTTGGAACTCAAAAGAAGATGGCACAAGGTAAATCAGGATTCAGAATTGCTCATGCTCAAATGGCTGTTCCAGATATGAAGAGAGTTGTTGTTGCTGCTGAAAAAGCTAAACTTCTTAGAGCTAAAATTGTCTTACCAAAAGTACCAAAGAGAGCTAATCCACTTAAGAATTGGGCTGCTATGGTTAAATTAAATCCATATGCTAAGATTGCATCACATAAACTTGCTCAAGTTGCTAAAGCACAAGCAGCACATAAAGCACAATATGAAGCTAAAATGGAAAAGATTCTTGCAGCAAAGAAAGAGGCATTAAATCAATCAGTTGCTAAGAGATTTGGTAAAACTCAAAAAGTTGATGGAAAGGTTGTTAAAGTTAAAGTTGAAAATAATCTTCTTAAAGCCACAGTTAAGAGAACTGCTAAACAAGATGCTTATATGAAGAAGTATGATGGAATCGTTAAGGCAAATGCCAAGAAATATGCTGAAAAAATTGGATTCTAAATTTTTTTTTAAGAAAATGATGGTCTTTTGTTTAGGGTTTTAAATATTTTAATTGAATTAAATAAAGAGAATAAGTTACAAAATATCTGGATTATCATCATTTATTACTAAAGGATTTTTAACATTAGATAAAACACAAGAATTACGATACGTTTCATCTGTTATTGGAGCGTCATCACTTTCATCAGTTTTATTTGAATCAGACTCTGGTTGCATAAATTGTTCAAATAATTCTCTATGATTTATATCTGTTTTATCATAATAACGCATAGTGATATTTCTAATAATAATTTCTGAACGTTTTAATAAATCTTTTTCATCATGTTTTGTTATAGCAGCTGATATTACATCAAGACTCCACATAATTACTATATATTATTATTTATTACTATTAAATAATTGAATTATATTATAAAACAAACGTATAACTGTATATTCAATAATATCAGGAATATAATATGTTCCTGATCTAAAAAGAATGTCGTTCATGTAATGACCTGTAATTGGTTTATAAAGATGGAAAAGAACTCTCATTGTCATTTCAAATACAAGAATAAAAGAACAAATAATTACAATACTAAATGACCTTTTTGATTGAAGTGATAATAAATGATGAACTGTCTTTCTGTATGCATAAATTAAATAAATTGTGAATGTTACACAGAAAAATGCAACTAATAAATTACTTGAAGTAATCATCCAAGTGTTAAGTTTTACAGGAAAAGTATTTGATTCAGAACAATGAGTACCTTGTGCAAAATAATACAAAAATGTAGAAGTTATTGCAATAAATACAATAACATTCATAAAAAGAATTGTCCATTTAACAATTTTCATTTCAACTACTTTAATTTCATTTTCACAGAATGAATTACACCAATGATAATAAGTATAAGTAATTAATAAAAACGTACAAAAATAAGCGAGCCTTGTTAAATAAAATAATCCACAACTCTTTTTACCATAAATTGACATTATTCCATAAACAGAAAAAAATATTGTTTTTGCAAGGAATAATAAAATTAACACAAGATAAGAAACATTTATTTCTCTTGAGAAAAATTTAAATGACAAATATACACAGACACATGTAAATAAAATAACGTAAAGAGTTCCAGTAATTATATTTGAAGAACCATCAAATGAAATTGTTAATTCACTAAACGACATATAAATCAAAAAAGATAATTAGTTCAATTATTAATTATGAGATTCAGAAGAAAAAAGAAAAATATAATCAAATAATATTTTACTTCTTCTTTTTCAATATTTAATGTCTGGTCCAGAACGTCGTCTTGAAACAATTCTTAGAAATAAAATATATAATTGTGAATATTGGAAACAACAATGCTTTACATTAACTAGTGAAACTATTCTTGATGAAATTGTTAAATTACATGACTTTGGTGGAACATATGGTGTATTAAAAAAACCAACAAAGTTTATAGTTTTAATAATGAAATTATTAATGCTTAGACCTGACAAAAGTATTATTTATGAATATATTATGAATGAAGAATTTAAATATGTTCGTGTTATTGGTGCATTTTATTTAAGGCTTATTGGTTCTTCAAAAGAATGTTATCAATTTATTGAACCATTGTATTATGATTATAGACCTTTAAAATATAGAATCGACAGTAAACATTATGAAATTATTACAATCGATCAATTTGCTTGGAATCTTCTCCATTTGGACTATTATTGTGATATTACTCTTCCAATTATTACACCACGTCCTGTAATAGAATCTCATGGAATTTTAACTCCAAGACTTAGTTTAATAAAACAACATTATTCAAAAGAAGAGTTCAATGAGTTAATGAAGACTGTTGATGTACAATAATTTCAGATTGGACTAATTTAGAAACAAGTTTATTAATAGAATTTTTTTTTTAATTTATCAAAATCACAGATCTAAACTAAAAATTAAAAAAATCCTTAAAATTATAGTGTATAATCGGGATATTAGGAAGAAAGAAAAAAAAGAGAATAAAAAAAAAAAGAAAATTGAACTGAGTTTGTAAAAATTTCAATCAAAATGAGTGGCGAGACAGAAAAACAACGACCGAAAAGAAAGATGGTAATGATGAAAATGAAGATTGACCTTTCAAAGGCACATGACGTAAGAGATGCAACATTAAGAAATGATCCTAATATGGCATTACCACCTAGTTTAAGAGTAAATAGAAATGAATTAAGTGAGATTGAAGATTGGCTATTCATTTCCGGAGAAATGACAGCAGCGGATCCTGAAATATTAGAGGTTTGTTTTAATTTTTATGTTATTAAATTTAATAATAAGTAACAAAGAAATAAAACAAGTTCATCTTCTTATTAGAAAACAGAAATTGGATATATTATTAATGCGGCAATTGGAGTTGCAAAAACAGGATTTCCACAAAAATTTAAATATTTAGCATTTGATATGAGTGATGACACAGAACAAGATTTATCTAGTTTTATTTTTCATGCTATCGATTTTTTAACTAATTTAAGAAAAGCAAGTAAAAAGAATAAATGTCTCGTTCATTGCCATGCTGGAATTAGTAGAAGTGTATCACTTGTTTTATCATATTTAATGTATGCAAATAAATTTACTTTTGATGAAGCATTAGCAGAGGTAAGAACAAGAAGAAGTGTAGCATGTCCAAATATTAGTTTTGAATTTCAATTAAAGAATTTTCAAGTATTATTACAAACACATAAACCATCTCATGTTGTTTATAGTAAATTACGCCCACATATAAATTCTAGTATTTATCCTATTTATATTGCTCGTGCTTTAACTGTTGGTTCAGAAAATTCTTTAATTGGAGAAAAAACAACAGTTCAAATGTTAACGCCAGGAGATTCGCCATATTACCCATTAGATTCTATATTTGATTCAAGAGGATGTTTTGTTGTTTTTGCTATGGAAGGAAATGTATATATTTGGGTTGGTAGTTTAAGTCATCAAAATGAATTTAATGCATGTCAAACATATTGTGGCCAAATAGAACGAATTATTGGTACACCAAAACATACTGTTATTCATGAAAATGAAGAAACAGTTCAATTTCTTAAAGAAGCACATTTATATCCACCACAAAGAAAACTTCATTTACATAAAAGATATAATGTTGAATATCCAGTTATTAAAAATGAAAAGTTGTTAATTAGATATCCTGATTGGAGACTTTTAACTCCTCAAGAAGCTGATCAAGAAACTGAAACTCCAATCATTTGTATTCAACCAAAAAACTTTTCACAAAATTCATTTGGATTAGATATGTCTCAAAGTAATTTTGCATCTAGTGATGCTTTTTCAATTCATCAAGAAACTCCACCTTTACAATCATTAGAATTAACAGAGTCATCAAGTTATTTTTTCAATTCAACAGCAACAAGAGTAGATAGAAAAGAGACACAGGAATATTTAAATAAGGTTAAAAGAACTGATAGCCCTAAAAAAAGATCTCATACGATTCTTAATGGAACTGAAAGTTCATTTACTAAACAAAAGTATAACATAAAAAAATACAAAATGACTGTATTTATTCCTATGCACTTTCCTCGTTTTTCAACTATGCAAGGAAATAGATGTAAAGAAAATTTAGAACTTTTAAGTGAACGTGCTGATTGCGTACAAACAACAGGAAATATTGAAGTTGTTCAACAATTCTTTCAAAATTTTGGGTTGAATCCAGAAGAAGTTGAAACTGCGGTTTATTTTTCAAGTACCCAATTTGGTGTATTTGCAAAACAAAACCTGTGATTGTATTGTATTCCAACTAAAAATTAAATAAAATATTTTTTAAGTTTTTTTTAAACCATTTCAATTATAAAAATTATTTTTTTATTCTTCGTTTGAACTATTTTCTAATTGTTCAATTGTTTGTTGAAGTTTATTTGATATTTTTGTTAGATATTTTGCATATTGTAATTGAGAATTTATTGGTTGAATAGATGTTATTAGTTTGTCACAAAATCTTAATAACTTTTCATTTGGCTCAGTCACAGTTAAAAGAGTATCAACAAATAAACCAATTCCTCGAATTTTGTCGTTTCCAACTAATTCTTCATTAAGAATACGTTCTTTTATCATTGATATGATATTAATTAATAGATTTCCATTTTCTTCAATATAAGTAGTATCACCACTAAATAATGTATCATCAGATTCAACATTTTCTATATGATATAAAAATGATGGCATAGAAAAAGATACAATCATTTGTAATACTCCACATAAATATTCTATATCTTCAATACCTTTTCCAATTTGTATTTTCATTAATTGAATTGGAACTTCAAGAGGAGTATTATCAGGATATGCTAATGAAAGTCCCCATATTTCTTTTAATAATGTTCTTAATTGATCTAACTCTAATTCTTCTTTTCTTTCTTGAACTATTGAAAGTGCAATTTTCATAAACGTATCTGCTTGTGCAAATGATTCAACTTTTAATGAAACAGAACATCCTAATACTGCTAATTTACCTATTTCAAATGGTGAACTTAATTCAAAAATTGTACAATAAACAAATGCAAGACTTCCTCTTACAAAAGATTTTCTTGTATCTTTTGAAGGTAATATTTGTGAATAAACAGTTAGTCTTAAGGTTAAATGAATTAATAATGTTTTGATAGTAGTTGAATGAAAGAATGATTGTCTACAATCACTATAAAAAGTCATTTGACGATCAAGATTTTTGCCGAAATCTACACATTCTATAAAATACATAATAGCTCTTTCTGTTTCAGGTGAAGAAGACATTCTTTCTATTCTTGTTTTTGAATCTAAATGTTGTCCTAATCGAAGTAAAATTTGAATTGTTCGAATGTCATTTAAAGGAACTTTTCTTTCATATCTTAGCAATTCAACTTTAATAAATAATGGAGATGCGATACTCTCTTGTTGTTCAATACTTAAAAATTCAAACATTTTTGACATACCATCGCAACTAAGAATACTACATAATTGTCTTCCAGTTAATGGAGCAATAGCATTTAATATTATTTTATCTAATTTATCAGCTTGTTTTGTTCCAAATTTATCAAGTTTGTTACCAATTGATCGTAAAACTCTGTCTAATGTTTTAATTGAACAATGAAGAGCAGTACATCCAATAAGATCAATTGAAAATTTAATCATTTCTTCACTGGTATTAATATTCGAAGCTAATTTCCACATTTCAATATTAATATCTTCTGCATTATCCAACTTTATTGCTTTTCCAAGTGCTCTTCCTAATGTACAAATAGCTTTTAATTTAAGTTCTACTGTATTTGTTGTTTTATTAATTGCATTAAATAATATAATTGCTTCATGTGATACTTCATTGGCAGTCATTCCTTTTATAATACCTGAAAGTGTTTGACTATCACTTGATAGAGATATATATTCAGCTAAAGGTATTCCCATCTCACCTACAACACGGAATAAACAATGAGTGACTGTAGGATCACCAACTCCATTTTTGTTTTCAATATTAATTAAAGTTTGAAGTAAAGTACTCCATATAAATCCTTGTTTAGTCATAAACCAAACATATTGTTCAACTCCAAAGTTAATAGGAATAAATCCTATTTCATTAATGATGTTAGTTTGTTTTGTTTTGAGGTCATTTGGTGAAAGAAATGGTTTTATAAGAATTAAAATAACAGAATGAAGATATAAATTTGAAAGATGATTCTTTGTTACTGAGTCAATTGCTTCTTCGTAATTTGATAATAAGTTTAATTGCTCATTGGCATGTAATAAATATAATTTGTTTTGTAATTCTTTTGAAAAAGTTGAAAGAAGTGAAGTAATATAATCATGTAATGAAGCGTATACTGCTGGTTTTAGATTACCACATAAACTATCAATTAATGGAGCAAGAATATTAATAATTTTAGTTATATTATTTGATGATACACAGGGTATTAATTCTTGTTTTGCTTTAACAATTTTAGAAATGAAATTTGCAAATGTTGTTGATTGAGAAATACCAAAATTTAAAATTTGAATGATTTCTTTTTCATTAGTCCCTTCTGATGGGGTGTATTGTTTTACTTTTCTTACTGTTGCTAATTCACTGCTTCTTAAACGAGTTAAAGGGTCTTCGTTTTGTGTCATTTTATTTGATACATGATCACTAAATAATAAGTCTTTACAATGAGTTTTATTAAAACTCCTATTGTAATTTATTTCTTCAATATCATATTTTCTTTTATGTAATTGAAACATGAAGTAAGAAAGGAAAGAATAAATCTTAAAAATTTTTTAGATTAATTTTAAGTTTTTTGTGAATGTTGAAACTTAAATAAATAAGATGAGATGTTTTGTTTTTGAGAAGATTGTAATTTAAAAGACAAAAACATAAAAATGAACTTAAAAAAAAAAAAATAAAAATAAAATAAACCAAAAAATTATTGGTAAACAATAACTTAATACATTCCATGATTATATTATTTCTTTTATTTTTTATTACATTTGTTATTTCTTATGAGATGAATATTTTTATGCTTCCACATGTTTTGTCTACATGGAAACAACCTGAATATAAAGCATGGGAAGATTGGAAAAATTCATTACAATTATATTCTATTTACTTAAAAAACCATGAATTTACATTAACAGTACCTACATTTTATATGAACCAAACAGTAGATGAAAATGGAACTACATTTGAAGAATTAATGAAAGAATATAACTTAGTATTTATTGTTCCAAATAATAATATAACTATAATAGAAAAAATGGTTATTCCATGGTTAAGTAAAGAAGAAAACACTCCAAAGAAGTATATTGGTATTCAATTTCATAGTGTTTATAATTTTGGATTTGGTGATAGTGACATTAATTATATGATTGAATTAAAAGAATTAGACGTAAAATTAAAGAATAAATACAAAAATTATGGAGGAATTGATGTATTAGATTATGAATTTTTTAAACAATATTATCAAAAACATAATAATAAAAATAGTTTATATCCATCATTTAGAACAATATATTTTAATTATTTTAATTCATATGAAAAGAATGAAATAAATAAAGCAATTCAATTATGTCAAGAAATTAATTCTTCAATATCACTTGATATAAGTGAAATTGATAGTGAGTATTTTATGGATTGTGATTCATTTATTAATATACTTTCTTCTATTAAAAAAGCTGGAGTAAATTATAAATTATTATTAAATAGGTCGTTATGGTTAAAAGAATGGTTTGTCTTTCTTAACTTTTTTCATAATAAATGTGTACATCAAATTGAAAATATTTAAAGTAAAACTCAAGAGGATTTAATTAAAAATTATTGAATTAGACTTTATGTAAATTCTAATTATTTAATTTTTATGTTCTTTTTTAAATAAAATATTTATTTAAAAGATTAGTTTATTTATAATACTATCTTAACATATCTATAAAGTTGATGAAACAATTCTTTGAATCAAATGTTTAGCATGTGTATTTCTTCTTAATGAATCAATATTTGGTGAAATAAAAGTTTCAATGAAATAATTTTTTTGATTAAAGTCCATCATTTCTATTAATCTTTGAATAACATAATTAGCATATGGATCACAAATCATTTCATTAATTTGTTTATTAGTAACATTACTATTACAAAGTTCATTAACAAGAATAGTTTGTTCTCTTGTTTCACAACAACGAATACATTTTTCAACAACATTACTTGAATATTTTTTCATTGAATATTCATATAATTTACCTTTAATATTATTAACTATTTCTACTCTTTGTTCATTAGTACCGTATTGAATAAGATGTTGAATAACATAATTTCCATATTGGTTAATTGATAATTCCCATACATATTCAACTAATTTATCTGTTACTCTCTTAACACAATTTTGTGAATTTTTTTCTATTAATCGTTGAATAACTCTACAACCATATGGATGTTTAGAATATTCAACAGCTCTTGTATAAATTTCATCTATCATGAAATTTAAATCAATTTCTGAAGCAAAATCAATAAATTTTTGAATAACATGATTTCCATTTTGATCTTCAATGAAAGTTGAAACATTTGATTTAATTTCTGAAGAAATAATTCTTACTTCTTCTGGAGAAAGAACTTCAATAATTTTTTGAATAACACGACAACCATACATATGAAGTGATAATTTTACAACATTTCCTTGTAATTTTTCAAATAATAAATGAACATGTTTTTTTGTTCCATATTCTACTAATTTTTGAATAACATAATTTCCAAATAAATCTATCATAAGTTCAATTGAATCTGAATAAATTAATCTAAATATTTGATCAATTTCTTCTTCTGTAGCAATTTCAAAAAATTGTTGTATTTTTCTACTTCCTTGTTGGTCTTTACAAAGTTCTGGTAATGAATAACTTTTATTTTTATTTGGAAGTTTCTTTTGAAATGAGGGTTGTGTATTCATTAAATCTAAAACTCTACTTGAGAGTGTTAATATTTGTTCATTATTATTATTTTTTGTTATTTCATGTGAACATAATGGTGTTAAATAAGAAAACATTGATTCTTCACATTTTACAAATGGAATAATCTATTCATAAATATAATATGTATTTTATTGTTTAATAAAATTATTTCTTTAACAAACAAAATCAGAACTTAAACATGCAGAATTACTTCTTTTTATTTTTTCATATGAATGTAATGGTATTGGAACAAATGACTCTAATGACTCTTTTATCTCACCAGAAAATATTTCAACATCTTCAGCACTTAAATTTTCTTCATCAGTTAAAAGAGAGATAATGGAATGAGTAACTACCCTCATTTATTAGATATAAAATGATTTACAGTTCTATTCATTTATAATTTACCCTTTTTTTCTTTCCTTTTGGAACTTTTCTCCTTTTTTCTTAAATTTCAATAACAAAAATATTGATAAGTTTTTCTTTTTTTCATTGAATTTCTACTAACATTTTGACTTCCAAACTCTTTTGTTTCTTCATTGTTTGAATCTCTGAATAAAGAACCTGCAACTGTACCCATTTTATTCCTCACTAATTACATATATTTTTTTTCTTTTCCTGGTTTGGTTTATTTTATTAGAAATATACACACCTTAGATTATTTTTTAACTTATCTCACTCTTAACTTAAAGACGTTCAAAAAACATTTTAGGTTTCATTAATTTAATAAGAAAAAGTAATTAATTAAGTATTAATAGAATTTTCATCTATTCTTCCTAGCTCAGGGGAGACTAATCACATCCCTGAGCTTATTATTAAAAAAGAGTAATCTCTTTGTTAAACCTATTCTTTATGTTTTTCTTGCAAAATGAGGAAAGCACTTCTTTGCTTTATTTCTTCCTATTAAGGTTTTTCAAACCTCTTCTGCTTATTTCTTCTTTTTAAGCCTTTGTTTGTTTTCTGCCTTAATTTTCAGGAATTTCATTTTTCTTATTTTATGATTGGAAGAAGGAATCATTTTATTACTACTGTATTACTTTGACTAATCTTCTTTTTAGTCTTGCTTTGACTAATCTTCTTTTAGTCATACCCACACTTCAGTAGATTCTTATATTACATCCACGTAATATTCTACTGTATTCTCTTGCTGCACCCTTTGCAGCATTCCCTAATACATTCCTAATTCAAAAGCACCGTCATAACCAGATAATAACTGGGAGAGTCGAAGAATGAATTTGTACTAGGGTTTATGTGTGGTGTTTCAGACGTGCCACCTTCGATCTCTGTTTCATTAATTTAATAAAAAAAAGAAAGAGAGGAAAAACTATTGTTAGTTAAACCAGATTCTTTGGTTAAGAAGTATCACGACATAATGTCAGTTTCGAGTCAACAAATAGGAAATTAACAAATACCAATAAAGTGCCTAAACAAAAAAAACAAAGTAAAAAATTATTCATTTGATTAAAAAGAGAAATAAAAACTTTAAAGAAAGAAGAGTATATAAAAAAAGGAATTGAATAATAATAAAGAATCCAAAAATTAAAAAGAAATAGATATTAATAATGTATAAATGGATTTATAATAAAATCAATTAATTAAGTATTAATAGAAATAGATTCTATTCTTCCTGGCTCAGGGGAGACTAATCCCGTCCCTTCGTCTTCATCTTCTTCTAGCAACTCTACGGAGTATGTTTGATTGTGATCTCCGCAGTATTCCATGACATCCATCATGTTTTTTATGACAACGTTTTTAATTTCTTTTTCGATGTCAATTTCAATTTTTAATTCTTTAATTAATCTATTACTTTCTTTATTTATTAATCCATTAATTGAAATTACTACTGGAATTATTCTGACATCTTTTAATTTTTCTATTTTCATTAGAATATTCTTTAATTCCTTATACATATTTCTTTTCTTCAAATACACTCCATTAATATTGTGATCAGCCACAATAGTCATATCAAATAATAGACCAGTTTTATTCTTTTTATCTATTACATATATGTCTGGTCTTTTGTGATATTGTCCATCACTTTTAGGCATTATTTGTTTGTTCAATATCATAGTGATGTCTTTATATTGGAACACTGTTTCATATGGGGATTTTTATATTGTTTATTTCCTGTATATTTTCTTATTAATCAATATAATAATGCATATATTGTCATGTTTTTCTATTTGTGATTTATTATGATAAATACAAGATAGTAGGATGTGTTCTACTGTTACTGTCTTGTCTTTACAAAGTGTGGAGTATTTCAATCTTTCATTTTTCATTATTTTTGCTTTCTTATACCCACAAAATATTGCTCCATCTTGCATTTTAGTTAATTGAAGAAATGCATTCTTTTTAATATTGATGGACTTCCATGCTTTCACTGTAGTAGTTTTATCTACTCATTTTGACTCGAACCATCTTCTGAAGTGTCCACTTATTTGATGACACTTCCATTTTTTGATGTATTGGTCGGTCAATAATTTTTTTATTTCTACTACTACTTCTTTTTCTTTTTTCTTTTCTATCCCTTCATTTATTATTTCTTCTATTTTTGTTTCATTTATTTTATGAATTATTGTTTTTTTAATTCTATTCCATATTCCCTTCTTACTGTACCATCTATCTAATATGTTATTTCCAATTTCACTTTCTCTGGTACAGTAGTACATCACTGTTCTAATTAATTCAATAACATA